AATTAGGTAAATTGACATTGAAAGATGGATTAGGAATCCTTCCCGTCACTTTCTAGGTCAAATCTGCTACAGGGATCGATGTCTTAGTTCTCCTCCCCATGGATGGCGTACGTTATTAAAGTGCGCCGAGAGAACTTTGACTCATGCCCTTCTCTCTCTACCTTTTATTTACATATCTCTTTTTATTGTTGGCTAGATGCTATTGTAAACATAAATGAGAAGTTAACCAAAAGCTAATTACCAAAAATGAATGAAGTTAAACAAAAGCATTTCTCGTGCCAATAATCAAGCGAATAAACAAGATTCAAGAAGAATCTATTTCTCTTTAGGCAGGCATTTTCGAAGAGTCCAATTGATATAATTCCGTACTTTTCGTGGAATCATTTGGGCCTTTAACTTTTTGCCAGTTCAGTGTCTTTTTGCCCTTTAGCCATTTTGGTCCGCACAACTCTCCCCTCGGAAAGGGACAGTTTGGCCCATCTTTTATCTTTTTGGACTCCAATGTTTATACAGCTGATGAGAAGTCATTTTTATTTGTTTTTACTCCATTTGCTCTAATTTATGTGGCTTTTGACTAGAAACATAACAAGAAAAAAGAGATTTAATAATTCATACGGTATATTACACATGCTTGACTTACCCATGACCATTATAACACCCGACCCATCTGTCTAATAACCCTATTACATTACCCGACCCGGTCTACTCCGATTAAAAGTCTAAGTGCAAATAACCTCAAAACTAATTCCCCATTTATCGTCTCTTCTTCCATTGAAAGTGCTGAAAGAGATCCGTTCAATGCAGGTGGATCTGATTTACATCGGATAATTTTTACCATTCACAAGAGGTTGATTTCAAGTCCTTCAGGTGAGTATGCATATTTTATCCGTTCAGTGCATGTGAATTGGGGATTATTTATTTTTACTCGATTTAGGGTTTCGTTCTTTTTTGAAGGAGAATCCTTTGTCATTCTCAATGTTACTTTCTACTTGTCGTATTTCTGTTTTTAAGAGTGTTTTATTGTTGGTTGCATTCTGCTCTTTGTAAATAGTGTCTAAAGTTAGAATTTTTCTAGTTTTTTTTTATTGTTACACCTGATTTGAATATAATGAATTGCTTTGGCTTTATGTGTACCCTTTTATTTCTTTATTCAATACTATATGTGAGAGTTAACTCTCTTGCCCCCTTTGCAGGAAATATATCTTTTTAACTGATCGTTAAAGTGGTATCATGATAGGGTGCTAGTTCCTGTACTTTTGCTCATTATGTGAGGGGAGGAGTCAGTCATTGACCTTATATGTAGATGTGGATATATTATTATTTTTTAAGCTTATGGATTACACTAAGCAAATGGGGTTTAAAAAGTATTGTTGAGCAGTACATCTGTCCCATGTACAAAAGTGATAAGTTGGCAGATATATTGGCTGGTAAGGATATATTAGACATTTAAAATAAATCGAAGGACGAGAATACCGTAGACATTTATGTCACACACGCTGCTCCTTTAATGGTAATTGACATAAATGCTACTAGGCCAGAGGTTGGTAGGAAAAATAGTGAGGCTGATAAAGTCACTATAAACTTAGAAGAGCAAGAGGGAGAACCATCTCAAGAGGGAGGAACAGAGGAAGATGATGAAGGTGATCTTGATAATAAGAATTACTCAGATTTTGATAATTCATCTAGGTCTGAGAGTGGTGTAGTTGATATAGATGTTCATGATGATAATCCCTATGGATTTGATGTACATGAAGAGATTGGGGAGTGCAAGGATGTGTTGAGGAAGTATAGGATGAAAAAAAGTGAAAGTCTAAAGATAACGGTGACATAAATCTAGGGGATGCTGGTATAGACCGCGGGTTTGATGAGTTGAGGACCGAGAGCAATGAAAATAAGTATGAAGGATTAGTTGGTACTGATGAGCTATATTTTGGTTCTTCTGATGCTCAAAATTTTGCTTTAGATGAGGAAAATGAGTTTGATGAAGAACACAAGAGAAAACTTGATGCAAAGAAGAGAAAAAGAGGTTGATATTTGATCCAACTGTCAAGAAAATAACATGGAATTTGGACCTTATTTTTTAAAGTGTTACTGAGATTAGGTGGGTTATATCCAGAAATACTATCCACAACAACAACAACAACCACCTAGTAAAATTCTACTAGTGGGGTCTAGGGAGGGTAGTGTGTACGCAGACTTTACCCCTACCTCGAAGAAGTAGGGAGGCTATTTTCGAAAGACCCTCAGCTCAAGAATGCTATCCACAAAGGAGTTCAAATTGAAAAGAACATGCAAAGGTGGATGTCCATGAAATCTGTTTGCTAGCAAAGATGGCAGATCCAACAATTTCAAAGTGAAGAGATATTGTCCTATATATAAGTGTTATAAGAACAACAAGAACGAGCTTTGCAACTTTAGATATCTAGCGAAGTATTGCAGGGATAAAATTATTTCCCAGCCAAATATGAGGGTTTGGGAGTTGATAAAATTGGTTAAGCTAGAACTAGACATATAAGTTTGAAGGTCTACTGTCCATGGAGTTAGGGCTATGATTTTGAATGAATTAATTGGAGATGTTCAAAAAGAGTTTAAAAGATTGTATGACTATAGAGATGTTATTTAACAGACTAATCCTGGCACAACTTGTGTTGTGAAGAAAAAGATAATAGGGATGGAAAGCATGTGTTCCAGTCCTATTATGTGTATTTTTATGCCATAAAGAAGGGCTAGATGGAAGGTTGTAAAAGAATAATTGGTCTACATGGTCGTTTCTTAAAAGAAATGTGCAAGGGACAACTGACTTGTAGCTCTGTCTAATGATGGCAATAATCAGATGTTTCTAATTACTTGGGACATTGTAGAGTGTGAGAACACTTCACTTGGAGTTGAAGGAAGGTAGAGATCTTACCATTATGTCTGAGATGCAGAAGATAATATTTTTTGTGTTTGGTTTTTTTTTGTTACACAACTAATATATTTTATATGACTAATGTAACTAATGCATTTTCTGACTTGTACTTGATATTTAGGGTATACTTAAGGCAGTAAATGACTTGTTGCCTGACAGTGAACATAGGTGGCGTTGGCAAATTTTAGCAAACTGGTCAAAGAAATAGAGAGGGTTGGTGATAGAATATATGAGTCCACCAAACTATATACAGACCAGGTCCTCTAGAGGTTTCCACTGGTAGTGCTAATGAAACAGTAAGTAAATGGAACATGGAACTTTTACGTGGAAAAATCCCTGCTCAAGGGGATAAAAAAATCACGAACTACATTGGTAGGATTTCAACTTCACTATGAGCAACTTTAGATTACAACCTATGCAATCTAGGAATTAAACTCTTAATCCCTCACTAACTTGTAATACACCTATTACAAGCCACTTTGCAATACACCTATTACAAAGACTTCAACTCATGACTAACTCTAGTCACGACACAAATACTGAAGGTTTATAGTTTACAATGGGTTCCTAATTAAAGCTTCTAGATAAGCAAAGTAGGAATTATAATGAAGAACAATTACAAAGTTACAACTCAACTAAGGACATACAAGATACTTGCTGTAGGAACTGGTCCGTAGTACTGTTGTACTTTGTTCTTGATTGCACTTGAGAATTGAATGCTTGACTGATGAACGGTAGGAGTGCTTGAATGATGAATTCTCAAGTGTTCAAGTGATGTTTTATTGTAATACATTTGTTAACACAACTTGGATGACATCACTTGAATGATGTAATCACTTGGTTGCTTAAAGGGGAGTGACTGCTGTACTGTGCTGCACTGTTTGTGTGTACAGTGCAGGCAGTCACTTTGCAGCTGTAGACAGTTGACTTTATACTGCTGTTAGGGAAACCCAAAGGGATCAAGTCCCTGTGTTGATTCTTTATCTTCTGAAGCCATAACAACTCAACTTAGCTTGAGGCCATTGATTGAGCTGTGTACCAAGTGTTTCAGGTCCCTTATCTGGTTCTTTGACAGTAAGTTTATTAGATCATTAAAACATAAAGCTAAGGTACTATAAACACATCAATTTCCCCCTTTTTGATGATGACAAACTTAGAAATTGACAATCATGTTTAGAACAACAAAAGACAGATAAAGTACCAGGAACTTCACAAGTTCTCCCTGACTTTGAGGCTTCACCCTTAATCAGATCCCCCTGCTTCAATTTATCCTATTCTTTTCCCCCTTTTGGCATCATTAAAATTACACAAGCAAGCAAACAACATAAAGAAGTCTAGCCTAGCGAACTCATGCCACATATGTGCACACAACATGATAGAAAAGAGAAGCAGAGAAACAGAAGCATTAAACAGCAAAAAAAGAGAGTCGTGATTAATTTTTATAAAACATAGGCCTTTGCCATTAGAGAAAAGGCAGATTTGGACTGTTATCAGCAGGAGCAGTACAAGTGAATTCCATCCATACAACAAAAGAAAAACAAAAACAACTACCATAGAGTCATCAAAAACAGAAGAGATAAACTGGAAATTGGTCACTGGTCCCTAGTGGATTAGCCTAGGGGACACTAGAGGGAGAGGGCTTAGAAGCTGCAACAAGTGTTGAGAACGAGATCAATTCGAGAATTGGCCGATATTTGCTCTGCGAGCAGTTTGTCCTTCAGGTTCTCAACCTGTTGCCTGAGATCATCATTTTCTTTTATCAGACGAGCAACCTCTGCATTTGACCCTGTGCCTCTTGAGCCTACTGATTCTACAGAATGGAATTCCTTTCCTTCAACTTCCTAATCTCCTTAGTAGCACTGTTCTGGGCATTGATAAGCTGGGAGATTTTTGAAGTACTTCCTACCCCTTCACATTTTTCAACACATTCACATTCCTCTAGAGTAGTTGCGAGAAGGTCTGC